ATAATTGGCGTTGTGAAAAATTATTGGGAAGCCAGGACGTTCCCTTGCAGTGATCCCCCCCTTCTCTTTCCCATCTGTCACTATCTAATGTGACAAAGTTTTTATCGGGCATTGAGGCAGAGGAGATTAAAAGTAAATACTGCAATCAGGAAGCAGCTGGGGGGAAAATGTAACACATTTCACACTAAGCTGAACAGCTCATCAACTTAGCCTTGTATATCTACAGCAGGCAGGCAAAAGGGAGAGGCCATGGGTTTTGGGGAGGCGGGGGTGGAAAGACAGCTTGAACATGCTCCTCCACACCAGGAAGGCTGGAAGTGGGTTACGTTTATACTATACTATATAAACAGGGATCCCATTCACTTAAGAGATGTTTGCTAAAGGGATCAGGCTGACGCCACACACACACACACACCCCGGCAATTCTCCCTTTTCTTTGATTAAGCAATACTATGGCTCCCAGGCTCTGATCCAGATCATGAAGGTACCTTGTTGTGACTGCTGGGAGCAGGGTGGTTGATGCTGAGCACAGTGGTCAATTCCCATGCAGCTGGCTCCAGTAATGTTGGGACGGGGGGGGGGGCAGCGAGTTAGCCATGTTGCTCCTTGGTGATGTCCATGCAAAGTAGCAACTGCATCGCCAGACTTTCCCTTAATTAACTGGTTAAATTTGTATTCTGACCTTCCTGTCAAAGTGTTAGAATTCCCGCTCCATGATTGCAGTCATGGGATTTTTGTCTATCAATGACAGTGTATATTTTGACTCCACAAAATGGGAAGTAACAGAGACAGGATGTTTGTGTTACTGTGTTCCGTGAAGTGGGACTATTGTCCTTTGTTTTTTCTCTTTGCTGTCTGACGCTAGAGAGAGAGGGAGCCATGTTGCAGTGCTCCGTGTGTGTTTATATGTAAATAAAGTAGATTAGCCAAAATGCTGAGTTGCTGAGGTCTGTCATGCAAGCTGTGAAGACTCTGTGGATTCCTAAGTGTGCCAATGTCTGTTGATATCGGTCGCTGTGATGTTCGGGCAGAAGAAAGCTTTTGAAGCTCCAGAATGATCGACCAGGAGGGAGGAAACATGCCAGTCGGGCATGTGTCTCTGCCAGCGTCCTACTTGAGTGTAGGATGAGCTCCTGACACAAAGGAGCCCAGGGTGGCAAACGAGATAAAGCAAGAAACATCTTAAAAACAAGTCCAGTGCAGGTGCAGACTGCGGAAGATCTACACTTAAAAGGCTTGTTGGAAGACGACGGTCTTCAGTAGGTGCCAACAGGACTACAGAGGTGGAACCTGCCTAATATTTAAGGGGAGAGCATTCCAAAGGGCAGGTACCACAACACTAAAGGCCTGATTGGTTTTAGTGTTGGCTGGCAGGATGTCTGGAAGGAACGGGAGTCAAAAAATGATTGCCAAGTCTCCCTTGGTGTTGATGGCTGACACCCACCACCATAACTGGCTATAGTGAGATTGTGATGTGGCTAACATTGAGATGGGGAGCAAAGTGGTCAAGCTTGAAGATTTTGTTAAGGTGTCATTAAGGTTCCCCCTACTTCCCAAAACCTGTAGTTCAAGGACTGGTTGAGCTCCTTTAAAACCTGATCACATAATAAGGAACAAACTTCAAGCCAAGCTAGAGAGTATGAATTTCAGGAACTGAATGGTAAGTATTGGGAATTTCTATGATACAACTGCTCCTAAGCTCAATAAATCAAGCATCTGCAGGGATCTGCTAGTTTAAACTGTATGTAAGAAAATATATGACATGAAAGAAGTAACATTTTCAATATTTTCAATGAAATGAGTAATCCATGTAGAACACAGGACAATGAAAGAAAGAACTAGGAAGTTGGACATTGTATATTAAGTGTAGATGCAACTAGTACTCTTGGCTTAAAAAGGAATGGGATGTATATGTTAAGTGGATAATTACTTGATATCTGGGCACTGCCAAAACATGAAATGGCTTTTCCGGGAGGTACATATGGAAAAGCTTTGAGTGCCAGAAGAATGAAGAATTGCACACTGGTGATAGAGAACATCTGATTTACTGGAACAGGCAGTTAAAGGTGAACTTGTTTTTAATTGAGGAGAAGCAAAAGAGGTTGCTGAGCAAATGGCGTTGGCAACCCTGAATCTCTGAACTGAATCAGGGATGGGGAATCTGTGGTCCTCCAGATGCTATTGGACTACAGCTCCCATCATCTCTGACCAATGGCCATGCTGGCTGGGGATGATGGGACTTGCCATTTGATGGCACCTGGAAAGTCACAGGTTCTCTGCTCCTGCATCCCATGGGTGGGGAATCTCAGGACTTTCTATCTCAGGACTCTGGGACTCTTACCAGGCTGTAGCCTTCACCAGCTCTGCTCCACACTCTCCTCATTGACTTTGCCTGGCTGGAATTCATATTTGAAGTGTGATGAAGCCTATTGCTTGCCTGGAAGAAGGATTATTTGCAGCTTGATCACTTGAGATCATCTGCAGGAGCATAACTGATTGTCCCCAGAGTTGGTGAGGCTCCTTTGACAGCAACAAGAAACAGAGCCTCTCCTGTTATTGGCCCAGTCCTGTGGAATTCTCTGCCTATAGAGATTCAGCAAACACCTTCTGTTTTAATCTTTCAGCATCTCTTGAAAGCATTTCTGTTGTTGTTGTTGTTTAGTCGTGTCCAACTCTTCGTGACCCCATGGACCAGAGCACGCCAGGCACTCCTGTCTTCAGCATTTCTACACCACTAAGCTAATGCCGGTGAGTAAGAAAACTGTAAGGTTTGGTGTTTACAGGGTGTTTAAAGCTGTCTAGTTTAGAAGAACTACAGCATGTGGACTCTCTCTTCACTCACACATCAAGCACGCACTGTGCCCGCTCTGCTACGAGTCCGGGAATTCTGTTGCTGTGGAACAGAACCGGACCGGTCAAAAACATCAGTCGGTAGTAGTTGATTTCTGATTTTAAAAACTGTGTATTTTTTTTTTTAATTGCATGGTTGTATGTACAACTGTTGTAACCTGCTCTGATTTTTAAAAATTGTTTTTATTAAAGATTTTGTTTGGTTGCTCTGATTTTTTTTAAATGAATAGCAGTATATGAATATTTTTACCAATAAATAAATAAAAAAGTGTGTGTATGAAAGCTTTTATTTCAGCATGGCTGAAATGTGGCCTACTGTGCAGAGTCATAACCCTTGCTCCACCCATGTTTGCCTCTGGCCCTACCCTCCATTGGCCTGTGGCCCCTGGAAGGTTGGCCATGGAGCTGAAAAATATCCTCCACTCCCAGTTTAAACAATATCCCCAGACCTCCATCATCCAGGTTTTCATTCTCCCTTATCCCTTTCCTATACCTACTCCTTCTTTCTATTGTACCTCTGTGTCTTTTTTGCACTGACATTATATTTTAAATATTATTTTAAAATATTAATAACTTGTATTACTAGGTAGAAGAGAACCGAGATGTAAGCGAGTATAAATTGAGATGTATTGTGTTTTTTACCCTTGGAGCCATGTGTTTCCCCACCTAAATCTCTGGTTGAGGAACTGCATGTGTGAATCGGTGCCATGTGTGTGTGTGGTTCATATTTGTACTCCAGTAGCTGGTGCTATGTGCTGTTTGGAGGGCTGGATTTTCTCCCTCCTGTTCCTCCCTCCCCACCAAACAGATGACTTAGTATGCAATTACTGGGTTTGGAAGAGAACGCTTTGCTCACACACTCAGTTGAATCAGAGCAAATCTATATTTGTATATACAGTACATATGTATATATAAAACTCATTTATTCATCCATTCATTTTTTTTACCCATGTAATTTAAAAATGCAATACAAATACAATGATGATGAGAGGCAACGTGGGGGACGGGGGAAGCACTGGGAAAATTAATAGTAGAGAAATGCATTTGGCTGTGAGGTTACATACTAAAGACTGCTGCAACAGGACAATTTTCTTATTCATTCATTTCCTCATCCCTATGCTTGCTACCTAAGGTGTCGACACTATTTTCAGCAAGTTTATGAAACCATTCTTATGTTTCTTCAGTTTGAGATGCAGGGTGTCTGTTTCTAATACATTTATTTTTACAAGGCTTCATGCTGGCAAGACTGAGAATAACTCCCTTGTTTTAAAATGAGATTAAAAAGCTTAACCCTGGATTTTTGACAACTCAGTATGTATATTTGCAACATATGTTTATTATTATTTTTGTAATTGTAAGTATTTGAAACTGTTCTTAATGCTGTATTTTAAATTGTTGTACCTACATAGAGACCTTTGCGTGAAGGGTGGATAATTAATTAATAAATAAGTGTACTAATTTAATGGCCTCTCCCTAATGACAATGATTTCCTGGATCTCTTTAGCAGATGAATTCAGTCTCTAGCTTCTTTCAAAAGCTCCTATAGAATGTTGCTGAGAACAACAGTTGGTTGTCTACTGTGGAAACAAAATGCTGGACTAGATGAATCCAGCAGGGCCCTTCCTATGTTTATGTGTTCATACAGCTCTCCTGCCTTTATGTGCAGCCCACAGAAAATCACAAGTTGCGATTTCCATCTCATACCTGTGACTTTGTGACAAATCCTTGTCAGTGTGAACATTTGTTACTGTATATTTGAAGGGTGATATACAAATTAAATAGGGATGCAGGTGGCGCTGTGAGTTAAACCACAGAGCCTAGGGCTTGCCGATCAGAAGGTCGGCGGTTCGAATCATCGTGACAGGGTGAGCTCCCGTTGCTCAGTCCCTACTCCTGCCCACCTAGTAGTTTGAAAGCACGTCAAAGTGCAAGTAGATAAATAGGTACCGCTCCGGCGGGAAGGTAAACGGCGTTTCCGTGCGCTGCTCTGGTTCGCCAGAAGCGGCTTAGTCATGCTGGCCACATGACCCAGAAGCTGTACGCCGGCTCCCTTGGCCAATAAAGCAAGATGAGCGCCGCAACCCCAGAGTCATCCGTGACTGGACCTAATGGTCAGGGTTCCCTTTACCTTTATACAAATTAAATAAATTGCCTGTGTGGCACAATGGGTCAGTGCATCTCGCTGTTAACCAGAAGGTGGTTCAAAACCCACCCAGGGGTAGCTGTGGGCAGGATTCCTGCAGGGGGTTGGACTAGATGACCCTCGGGGTACCTTCCAACTCTACTGTCAGGGACTGGACTGAAGAGGAGGAGGAATGGTGGAGGGACCCCCTTCTCCCGTAGCTTGCAGAGAAGAGGAAGGCAGTCTCGAATTACAGCAGGGCTTTGAGGAAGATGACAGCTCAGAGAGAGGCGCAGAGCAGAGTTATGAGGTGTTAGGAGAAGGAGGTGGGGAGGCAGAGCAGCTAGCTGACATGTAACTGGACAGCATAACCGACCCCTCTTCTCCCAAAACGTGGCATTTGTTAAGGGTGCAAGAACAAAGGGCACACAGGCAGTTGTGCAGAGATGGACGCCATACAGGCAGGTGTTGTTGTTAAATGGGAAGAGGGGAGGAGCTCAGTGCGAGCAACGCCATCATTGAGGAATGACCGTACTTCTTTGTCTTTCACCGTGATGACTGAAATACATCATAAGTAAGAACTTTCTTGTTTCCTCACTGCTTCTTGGTGCCATCGGGGGAGAGAGAGAATTCCTCATGCCTGACATCTACAGTTCTATGATTCTATTATTGTTTTTCATAGGACATTCATTAAGAGAGCCAATGTAGTGTAGTGTCAGACTAGGACCTGAGAGACCAGGGTGCAGATCTTCATTGGCTCCCAGTACGTTTCCGATTACAGTTCAAAGTGTTGGTGCTGACCTTTAAAGCCCTAAACGGCCTCGGTCCTGTATACCTGAAGGAACGTCTCCACCTCCATCATCCAGCCCAGACACTGAGATCCAGTACCGAGGGCCTTCTGGTGGTTGCCTCATTGTGAGAAGTGAGGTTACAGGGAACCAGGCAGAGGGCCTTCTCAGTGGTGGAACCCTCCCTGTGGAACACCCTCCCATCTGATGTCAAGGCAATAAACAACTATTTTACTTTTAAAAGACAACTGAAGATGGCCCTGTTTAGGGAAGTTTTTAATGTCTGGTGCTGTATTGTTTTTAATATTCAGTTGGAAGCTGCCCAGAATGGCTGGGGAAACCCAGCCAGATGGGCGGGGTATAAATAATAAATTATTATTATTATATTATTATCCCCACTTGGCCATGAAACTCAATGGGTAGCCTTGGGCCAGTCACTGCCTGCTATCCTAACCTACCTCACGGGGTTGTTGAGATGATTAAGTGATGAGGGGGAGAATCATGCATGCCACCTTGAACTCTTTGGAGAAAATGATGGGATATAAATAAATGAGTAGTATGACATAAGGAAGTTCAGTGGCAGGGCCCATATTCAAATTCCAGATAGCAGGAGTGGGAAAGTCCTTTGCCTGAGACCTTGGAAAGATGCTATCACTCTTCCAATCAGCATAGACAATCCATGATTGGATGGAACAGTGTTCTGGCTCAGTCTAAGTTCACATCATATATCCATAGGAAGCAGGCCATGTTGCTTTATTTAACGATGTAACTTCAGGGGACTGAACCACTGCGTCTAGGGTGTTCTGCCCAAGTGCAAATCTGAGGATCACTGCACATCAAATGTTCACCAGTGTGTAACCAACCTGCACAATCTGCATTATGCTATTGGTTGGCTGCACAACAGATGCACAATCAGCTGACAGGATCTGCACCACAGAGGCTGCAAATAATGTCATTACTGCTGCCCTGGGCATTAGTTTGTCTGACATGGTTCCTGTGTTTAGAAGGGTTAGGAGCACCTAAGCAGACACCTCATTCATCTCTAGAGATTGGACTTCGTCATCACAGTAGTTTTGAAACGGGTCCTGAACACTGTCCTTTCAAATCGTGGCTTCACCACCCCCATCCCAGTTCACATAAGGAACATATAGAGGGTAAATAGTTTTCTCTTAAAAGCTTACTTCTGGATATCTACATTATCAGTTGAATTTCCTCCTTGGCTGTCCAGACGCACAGAATACAGCACTTCTGTGCCTTTCCTTGTTTTGTACAAAAGTAGTTTTCTGAACTGGGATAATCTGAACTCTCTCAGTTTCAGTTTTGTGCCCATCATTGGTGATTAAGAACCAGCTGCCCTTTTTACTGCACATTCTTGAATATTTGTGCTCATAATGCTATCAAGGAGGTCAATAGCAATCCTGTTTTTCGATACTATTTGCACCTCCAGAAGAAGTACAGTTTCATTTCCAATCAGCGCGCATGTTGCAACTTCCTGCTGAAATCCTGGTAACTTTTTATTCCACAAATGAATTGGTTTATATTCAGCCTGTATCTGTTGCACTGTAGCCCTTTGAGACAGCAACAATGTGGTAGCATTGTGGAAGCATTGCTGGATAACTAACAGAGCATAATAAATCTATCACTAATACACTATTATTGTGAAAGAACATGTTGCAGAATACACCTGCCCCCCCAACCATTCCAGAGGGCCCTAAAGACAGTGCTAAAGTTGCAGGTGGGATGTCTTAGGTTTGAATCCTTTTCACCAATAAAGTTCAGCAGATGTACTTGGCAGTGCTCAAATTACCAACCCCCATCATTATTGTTTAGAAGACTACAGGGCAGGGGCGAAGGAAGAGGGGGCAGTGGGGGTGGGCCGCCCCAGGTGCCACCACTGAGGGGGGTGACAAAATGCTGGGTGGCACTCACCGCGGGGCCTGCAACACGCCTGAGCCACATGTCTCTCGTGGGAGTGACGCGGTGGCTTGGGTGCCCACAGGCTCCGCCTTGCCGCAAACGGTCTGCCCACCACCTCCCCCTAAGCTGTAGTGTGGCTGTGTGGGAGGATGCAGGCAGACTCCCCAGTGGCCCAGTGGCTCGCCCTGCTCCCGGGCGACTGGTCCCACCCCTGGGCGCAGGGCATGCACACTGCCCCAGGTGCCCAATCGGCTTGTTACAGGGAGCCATGATTTAGGTAGAGTTGGGAGACATCAGGGTGCAGGGGTGCTGACTTGGACCCCAGATTATGGGTGCCCAATGGCACCCATGACGTAACATGACATCATGACATCAGCGTGCCACAGCAGTGCTTCTGAGGCCTCACGAGGCCTTGGAGGTCACATCCGAGGTCTCACGAGACCTCTGACGTGACTTTCGGTAACACAATGGGGTTTAGATGAGCTTATTAAACTCCACTGTTTTCATGTTAAATCAATTTGTAAAGCGCTTTGGGATCTTTCTGGATGAAAGTTGCTATATAAATGCATGTCGTGACCATTCATCATTATTTAATATGAAATAGAGATACACACTCTATCAAGCCAGCAGCAAGAGGCTGAGGATCATGATTGCTTGCAAGCTCCAATCAGTCATTGGCTTCACAACACCATGCAGTGAAAATAAAACAGAAAAAGCCAGCAGACCATTCCAACCACTGTCGTCAATGGCCAGCCCTCCAAAATGCAAAGTTTTGGACCTGATGAACAAGCCTCATGGACTTTCCCACAGATTCAGTTAAGTCTCTCTAACCACAGAGACAGCAGTTAGTTTCACTGCCAAAAGTAACCTTAGGTAGCAGAGAAAGAGAATGTTATATCTAAATGTCTAGATAGATGGCTGGTGCATTTGCTTTAGATTAAGATGGAACATAGCACAGCATGACCTGTCAGCTCCCTCATCTACCTTCCTGCATTAAAAGATGAGGTTGCCCATAATTTGCTCTATTACTTGCCAGCTGGGAGCAGCCTTTTGGTCTTCCCTGCTTTGAAGGCTGGGATGTTGGCCAGACTTTTAAAATACTCTTCAGGGGTTGTAGCTTAGTCACAGAATAAGTGGTACACACTCAACAGTCTATTAATTAACCTCTCAGGGAAACCTAAATGCATAAAAGATCTATGTTACATTCCGTCTCTGAAGTCGTTTTTTGCATGATAGATCTCAATGGGCTCACACAGCAAAAACAGCAGCAGAGTGGGGTGGATCTTTAGGTCATCTTCTTTGACTTCATCATCTCCCTAGATTGGGAGCGACGCTATTTCAGGTCAAGGAAAACTTACATACTGTGCATTTCATAGCCTTTGCAGCCTGGTTATATCCATATATTTTATGCATGTAGCCATCCAAGATTTCTGTTTCAGTGGGGACATTCTATTGCTACAGGATGTAATATGGGGCAGGACATAAATTTAACAAACCAATAAAATAATAAAGTCATAAGTATGAGCGTGTGTTGAGCCATCCACGAGACTCATGTTCAATGCATCTAAATCTGTTGTGCCCAGAAGGCCTATGATGCAGTTACCTTGCTGGAGTTAAGCAGGTTTGGGTCTGGGCAGTTTTCTGGATGGGAAACCAATAAGGTAGGTTGGCAGGAGCTCGGGCAGAGCAACGGGAGTTTACCCCATTGTGCAGATTCGAACCGCCAACCTTCTGATTGGCAAGCTAGTATGTTTCCAAGCACAATTCAAAGTGTTGGTGTTGACCTTTAAAGCCCTAAATGGCCTCGGCCCAGTATACCTGAAGGGACGTCTCCATCTCCATCGTTCAGCCCAGACACTGAGGTCCAGCTCCGAGGGCCTTCTGTCAAGTTCCCTCACTGTGAGAAGTAAGGTTGCAGGGAATCAGGCAGAGGGCCTTCTCAGTAGTGGAACCCGCCCTGTGGAATGCCCTCCCATCAGATGTCAAGGAAGAGAGCCCCTCCCCTTGTTCTCTTGATGGCCTATCACCTAGGCTATCACCTCAGCAGGAAGCTAGCCTGGTTATTCCAGGTACTAGAAGATTAAAAAAATTCCAAAACTAGAACTTTTAAGGCTTGCTGGATCCAGGAATTAGAAGGGTCTTGGCATGCAGCCTAACTTGCCTCCCCTGCAAACCCATGAGACTATATTTCTATAGATCCAGCCAATGTCAATACTTCTAAGAACAGCAAGTAGTCCTAGTGCAAAAGGTGCAGAGTCAACACTATGCATTATCATCCTGATAGCTGAAGAGGAATATTTAACCCTGGGCAAGTTTCTGAAATAATTACACCATGAAGTGTTTATTGTGGTGTTGGTGTCGGATGTTTGTGTGAGGAATGACTTTAAAGGTTAG